ATTTATATATATATATATATATTTATATATTTATATATTTATAAATGGTGTGTACATAACACAACGAGACAGCTCAATTCGTCAAAGAGTTCTTAATATTTCAACGTTTTAACAACCATAACGACCTACGAAGCGTTCGAGACGTTTCACAGACCCAATATGGTAATACCTTACTCCTTTTGTTTTTCTTGGTATGCCATGGATGAATACACGATTCTAGTCGAAGAAACTCTGTAACGTGCGCCCGTGTTGTGTCTGTCGAAGGGTCACGTCGAACATGTCACACGGAGTACACCATAAAAGACACCCTCCGTTTCCCTTCCATTTTTCCCCGACAAATACCGAAAACCACCGTATCCAGGAATAACGCGGAGGAACACCTCCTCACGTGTCTCGTTCTATTCGTTTTTATTCGTTCGTACATAAACAGCGACGTTTGAACAGGTTCGTCCTATTCCTTCCCAAACATCGACAATCCGACGCAGCTCTCGCTCAGAGGATTCTCCGCATTACGTCACGTATCAAAACACCGTGAATGACGTGATGAGGAGAACTGGACGAAAGACGTACACGTATGCGTAGGATCGATAGAAAAATCGTCGTACACGATCCTCGGTAAGTAATCGTCTCTATGTAGAAGCCATCGATCGAAATTTCACAGAAAGTTTGCACTGAATATATCCCATCCATACGACGTCGCGACGCGAACGTACGAACAATACAACGAATTGAACGCGAGATCTCTATCGGAGAGTACGTTTTCGTGCACAGTGGTGTCGGCTTGCGTTTAACTCGTCGTTAAAACGATCGAGTTTCGTTAACGTCGCGACAAACAGAGACACTCGATCCCCGGATGAAAATTTAATTAAGGCCGTGAAATGATCACCGGACATCGAGCGTCGTTGCATTTTCTAAACGCGACAAGGAAGACTCCTTTGATGCTCCATGAAACACCATGCTCGTTACCTATCGATTCGCCCATCGTTGTCTAACCGAATCCTTTCGAAAGGGACCGTGTTTTTTCACCTTCGAATCTCTCTATTCGCGATTCCTTTCAGCGCAGAACTGCGATTCGAAATAGATAGGTAACGAGCATTCGACGTACATCGACACAGATTTATCATCTTTACACATGCCCTCGCGTATCTATACACAATCCTATACATTGTACTACTTGTTTCTTCATTACGAATTCTCAATGTGCTGCGCTTACGTGGTATGCTTAGTGAATTAAAGCTACCCCAATTACTTATTTCTGTTTAACTTCAATGATGAATCCTTACTGGCTAAAACGATGACAGATAGAACTCGCATTTTACGCATTTTTATTTTTCCTTTAACTTAACGTACCATCCTTCCTCGCGGTTACGCGAACGTAATTAGATGGTCCTACGATCGGAGGATGCGGTAATATTCATTATCCTGACACGATACGAACGTTCGTTTCGACGTATCGCCGCGACGCGATATCCCGTTCTCTCCGCTCTACGTCCCTTCAGACGTTCGTAGCGGCGTTGAAAACACGCGAGCTTCAGAGCCGAACCCGCTCTCGATCGACGACGCGGCGCGCCGTGTTCGAATCTCGCGCGCGCGATCCAACGATCGAGAAACTCGCGGATACCTTCTCCCTCTTCTCGCCGCGAAGTTCGATCGACGAGAGAGAAAAAAATTTGGGAAAAGTGTCTCGACGACGTGTCGATTGTTGGATCACGCGACTCTTTCACAACGGGGGAGGGGGGGAAGTTCTAAGTGATTTCGCGACGCATCTGAGATACGCGCGTCGCGAAAGAGAACATCGAGAATTAATAACTAACGCTACTCTCTCACATTTGTCCCGTTTCTTTTTTCGTTCTTTCTTTCTTTACGTGAAGAGGAGGGTGAAACGCGCGCGTCGCGCGTCACTCTACTCGTTAACACCTTATATTGTCGTACAATCGATATCGAATATCGGCGTAACAGAGGCACGTTCTCTCTGCTCGAACGAGATCCTTTTGGGGAAAGTAAGTCGGCGTGAAAGAAAGACCACCGGGTGAAGAAGAGGAAACAGAAAAATATGGGAAAACGTGACACTGTGCGGCACGAGAACGTGCCGTTTCTCTTTCTCCTGTCGAACCTTCGCCTTTATCTTCGCGTGACATAGCATTCTGGTCGATTTACAATTAATTAGACCTGAAACACCCTTACACCTTACAACATCGTTTTACACGTTACCGAAGAACAATAGACTGATTTCTCTATTGTTCGAGCGGGGTACGATAAGCTACAACTGCCGCGTATAATAATTTATATATATATATATAGTGTGTGTGTTTATATATATATGTATGTATCTATATGTATGTCGTGTATATATTTCGTGTATCGTGAGTACGAGTGTCAAGTGATTATAGTACATGTGACTAGCACTCATTGAAATCAAGGAGGTAACATACGGTTACATATAGAGCCTAACTTTTATTTTAGCTAGCCTACGATGATAATCTCTCACGTTGATGAGCGTTTATTTTAATCCGTTTAATGCCTAAATCGGTTTACCTTTTAAGTTCATTCGTTACACAGAGACACTGAATATAATCATGTAATCAAGTGTCGAACGTTCGAGCGATCGAGACGAGACCAAGAGCCAAGTGCCTCGTCTAACCTGGCTGGATTCTAGTCGTACGAGAAGGTTGCTTAGACATTCACACCCCTTCCACGATATTCGTTGTAATAGTCTCGTAATTAGTTTGGTGTTATCGTTTCACGACCCGCTAGATTATTCGGGGAACGGGGGGAAATTGAAAAAAGGAGGGAACAATTGGTGTTTATCAATGATCACCCTTGGCTCGACAATCGAACAGGTTCGATTGTCAATGCAACACTCGTCTATCTGTCTGTGTGTGTGTGTGTGTGTGTGTGTTTTCATACACGATTGAAATGGCACATCGGACACGTGATATCGTATTAAACACGATTTCGACACGCGTATCGCGCGTAAAGAAAAGTTTATCAAAAGAAGGGAAAGCAACGAGGCACTAAATTGGCAGCGAACGCCATTTGGCTAAAATCGCCGGTCTCGATCGGGACACACGGGACTGGATTCGGCCTCGATGCACGCTTTCGAACGCTCGAATATACATATGCATATATATGTACTCGGCCAGATGATTAGAATTGTCACTTTAACGTATCCTAAGCGTGTGTACCCTAGGCTATTCGATCTGAATAAAACGACGATATCCCGTCGCTTCGCCGCGCGATCCTTAAACGAGCCCGTGTCGAGAAGTGTCACGCGCGAAGCAACGTAAAACGATCGTGTGTGATTATAAACCGACGAAAAGAAGAAAAGGAATCGTACACACTATCGTAGCGTTAATTATCAGCGCATCGAGCCTGCTTTTCTTTTTCTCCTCTTCTCTTCTTCATATACATATATATCTTTTCTTTCCGTTTTGTCTTCTGTTCTGCTCTTTCTTACCTTCCCTCTCTCTTCGCTTCTTTTCTCTCCCGGAACTTACTTATACGTAGATGTCGTTATCGAAGGCATCCTAAAAATTAGTTCCACGACCTTAAAGTAGCCTCCCTCTACGCGTGGTAAAATCTTAACCAACAACGGTATTACAGTGACGCAAGGATCCTAATTAATAGATTTAGCTTAAATCGTAAACGTTATTATTTCGTTCTTATCTTTCCTTTCTCTCTTTTTTTTTTTTTTCGTTTTTTTGTCCGGCAAGAAGGAAAAAGAGACTCGGACGACGAAAGTTCGGTTTCGCAAAAGAATGCACCGATCGTTTCTTCCCTCTTTCTCTATACTGCGTCCGATATCAGAGTAGCCTCGCTGCTTCGCTCATGGGACACATTCTGTAACATAGAGCGAGTAACCGTGAGCGAGGTTACTCTAATATTCGACAAGGTTTAGTTTTTCGTTTCTTCTTTCTCTCTCTCTCTCTCGTATTCTTTCAAAACGAGACTCGAGTTTACGAGGCGGTGCGTGAATCTTTCGTGTCACAATGAACAGAAAAAGGATCCCTACCGGGCTTACAGCGAGTTGCCAAGTGGCCACGACGAAATCAAACGTGACGTGAACACGTAAACACGATTAAAACTAATGGAAAGGTGTTGTAACAAGCTGCTCACTACATCACACGGGCACTAGAACAAATTACGAAGTCGTTGATCAAGGATTATTCTTCACACTATCAAGCAACGTTCTATATATATATATGTGTGTGTGTATGCTTGACGATGATATTCGGTGTATGTACTTGTCTTTTCGCTGTGTTCCATTTCATGCGATCACATCCGTTCGATCCTCGACGAAAGACGGATTTTACACGTTTAAATTAGATCTGTGGAAGTTGAATAATTGAGACATTCCGTATCTCCCGTTCGACTAAAGCTAAACCAAACGTTCGTAACATTGTTGTACACAGCGGTAAACGGTGTTCCATGTAAAAAAGAGAAAAATCATCATCGATATGCTTGTAACAATTGACCTTTCGAATTCTCAATTATTCGTTTTAAAAGATCTATACAAACAGCGTGTGTCGTTTCGTAGAAAGATTTCTCCTCGGAAAGGAATTATCACGGATCGCAGATGATCGTTTCTTCTTTCCCTGTTCGATTCCGCATTGTCTGCCTCCCCCCGAAAATATTCGAACAATCGCCTATGATTCACCCTCCGAAGAAGCATGCTCTGCTAATGGCTAGTCTCGTCGCAGGTTTATTCCGAGGTCAATGCCGTCGTTTTCGTCTAGGCTGTAACAACACTTGAACCCAACTGCCTCTTTCTATGTGCTTCTTTTGTTTGTTTGTTTGTTTTTTTTTTTTGTTTATCCTACATAGTGCTTAAACTCGCACCCCTGAGATATTCGTTATCTTTAACCGCGTCTACGTATCAGTACGGATTCGTTACGGATCCTATCGAGCCTCTCGTTTCGCTTCTCCGCGCGTCGTGGCGTCAGCTCCGAAATCGATTCTCAGCTTTGTCGTTCCTCGTCGACCCCTTTTTTTTCTTTTTCTTTTTATTGTACTTCCGTCGAGCAACTTTCTCAGCTGTACAAGGATTGTCCGGGATTCTTTCTTTCTCCTCCCTTATTCCTGTGCGTGTGTGTGTGTGTGTGTGTGTTCTTAATCCGATTAGAATCCCTTAAACTTACTGTCCCAACGTCGATAGTTTCGTTATCTCTCTCTCTCTCTCTCTCTCCTCGTTCGATATTTATCATTTCGATTTCACTTCGATCGTAGTAGAATTACGCGTGTATGTTTTGTATCTCTGAACTAAGTCGCGGAAATTAAGACTTCCTTCTCTTTGACTCCTAACTCGAGAAGCTTCTGGTGGGCTCTATACTCTGAAAACAACACTAAAAACACCGTTTCAACTATCTATCCTCTCTCTCTCTCTACGCCGCTTCGTCGCCTGTTCAGCTTTCTTTCTCTCCTCTTTCAATTTTATCAATCAACGCACTCGTAAAAATGGCAAAGTAACGTTCAAGCTAGTAAACCGGGCGTAAATCGTGATTGAAACGGAACGGAACGAATATATATGTATATATCATTTAGGCGACATCGAGCTACCGTGAAATAGATCGACGAACGATAAAAGGCTCTCTCGCGTGTTTGGTAACGTTTCAAGTGAAACTAAACGCCTTCTCGTTCGTTCCTGATCACAATTGGACGGTGTACCTGCACTTATCCGCGATATATCGGGGTGCGTGATGAATTAACAAACGGCCCGTTGCAGCGATGATCGTTTTCAATTGGAAAAAGTTACGGTGCACGCGCGTCACGTGTATAAAAAGTACAAACAACAGATTTCATGGTTAAGTGCATTGTAAAAATCGTGTGTCTTTGCTTGTGTACGAGTGGGTCCTTGGTATGTACGTGCGTGTGAGTGTGTTTGTACGAGTGGCGTGTACGTTGAAAACGCGCTTAAGACTTCGTCGAATGTGGGTGAGAAACGTGATAAGAAGGACACTTAAGTTATCAAGGCACATCAAAAACTAAACCTTCGGACGTACTATTACTTCGAAGTGAGCTAGCGACCTTTGTGTATTCCATTTTAATTCATTAACGTGTTACCATCTAACGGATGACTAACTTTCTAACTAAACCTAGACACGGAGGAATATCGATCAATATAGTTGTGCAATAGAGGATGGATTAAGTTTACATCTTTGCGTTATCGCTTACTTTATACTCTTATTAATTCAACATCGAGAAAATTCATCTTTTTTTTCATATAAAAGAGGCAAACAAGAAGTGAAATTAAAATAGGCAATATTTTCTTCCCCGTTACAATCCTACGCATCTCCTACTGGTAAATTCCCCGCGACTAACGAAACTTTAAGCGATACGAATTGTTTTCTTCTATATAGAATTTAATCAACCGAAGTCTTATCGAAATTGGAAATCAGAAGGGAACAGAATGTTTGGAAGAACGTATTATTTGCTCGTTTCAAAGCTGACACCACGAGGTCTACCATTTTCGTCGTAATACGTTTATCAGCCCTTACGCTAAGGTAAATTGAGATCATTGGATAAAGACATTTCTTCACTTTTCTCCTTCTCTCTCGCTTTCCTTCTCTTTCCTTTCTCTCTCTCTCTCTCTCTCAGTTTCGTCGCTGATCGATTTTTTACTTTTGCACAGTTGTCGATCCTTCTTTTTAGACTTTAGAGTACCGAGTCAAAGAAGCTTTACACAGTAAGGAACGTAGAACACAGGCGAGTATAAATCACGAGCGTATCTGCAGAACATCAACGAACGAAACTTTGCTTCGGTGCGCTTAGCACAGTACCGCGCGTGAGAATCGCGAGAATATCGAATGCCCATGTTTTCTTCATTTCACGCAGACACCTAGTGACCGCTTCTTCCCATTTTTTTCGCTTGCCGGTCTCACCTAACTTCGCCAACCCGTTTATTTATTTATCCCTTTCTCTCTCTCTCTCTCTCTCTCTCCCCTTTATTACATTTTGATTTTCATTTCGGTAATGGTTCTTAAAGCCTACAGAATCAACGAAACGTCTCTCTTTTTCTCGTGAATTTTCAGCTGTAATCGCCAAGTCGCCTAGTGTGCAGCTCTTTCTTCCTCTTTCTTTTACAAACGACTCGAATCTAATGAAAATCTCGGGAAAAAAGAAGCGGTTCGTTAGCGGAAATTATGCAGGACAGTTTTCAACATCGAGATGCTCACCACTGTTCGAGACGTATTTTCTTCTTCAAATTTTTCTCACGATCCGAATCGAAAGTTCGCCGGCACGGTGAGGGAATTTTTCTCGAAGGCCGAAAGTTTCGATAAAATGGGTTTCAAAGAGCGTACCGGCGATTTTACTGAGGAATTTTCATTTATCATCGCCGCGAGTCCCCCGTTTGTCCGAAATGTTTGCGCTGTTCGCATGCACGATGTCAAATTACTGTCCGGTCACGAAAAATCTTAACGACTATTTGTGCGCTTAAGATACAGACCGGTGGGATCGTTGTTCTTCGAGCTGACGTTGCATCGCGAATGGATACACCGCCAGCGAACGCACCACGCGGCCTTCTCTAGCCCAAATGTTCAGAATAATGCCCGAATCTCCTCTTTTTTTGCTTTCCTCAATCATGTTTGAATGACGTCGGCTTACATATACTTTTTAACAATTTTACAAATATGTATTTTACTGCAAGACTTTCATCGCCCATTCAATTTTTATAAATTCCTTCCATATTTTTTTTCCCTTTCTCTCTCTCTTTCTCTCTCTCTCTCTACCTTTTCCTCGCCTTTCAGAAAAATGCTATATAATCGAAAGTTAAGCCTAAAAAGTGGTACGCCTGAAGTAAAATCGGATGAGGAGATGACAGGGGCCTATATATGGTTCATCACTGTTTTCTTCCTGTTGGAATCGAAAAACCAAGTGGCGGCGGGCGTTCCCGTAATTTAACGAGACGAGTACGCGTGTGTGTGTGTGTGTGTTTTATGCGTTGTGCAGAACGGATACGTCGATGGTAACGAAACATAACCGGACACTTGGAAAAGTATCGATACAAACCGTTCAAACCTGATAGAATTCTTTTCCCTAGCAACTATGTAAATGCTGAATACATCGAATACATAGAATCTACAATACGCATTACTTTTTTTTTTTTTCATTTAATATACATAAACGACCACGACATTTTCCTTTTTTTAATTTCCCCGTTAAATTTTCGTTCAACCCTTCCCTTATCGAAATACACGTAGTTAATATCCGAACAGCTAAATAATTCGATAAAGTACACGGTATCGATTGATTTAAACAAGCGGTACGAAATAATCAGCGAAACGATAGCAAATGTTCCAGAAGAACGAAAATTTTCGATGATGGTTTTTTTCCTGAGAAATAATCGAACGGCAAAGAGACACGAATGGAAAATCGAATCGATAGATAATGGAATGTTAACGAGTTACGTTTATGTTTATACACATCGCCGTGGACCGTTAGCAAAATTTACATCGTTATATTCGCGCTCAATTGTGAGACGCTAGTGTCATATAGATGAGCTTGATGATCTGCAGATACATCGACGTTACTCTCCCTCTTAAATCGATCCTAATAGTTTATATATGTATATATCGATTTGTCCGAAAGTTTCCAACGAAATTTCACAATTACGAAATTATCCAAGTGAAGATATAATTCGTGAAAGTATGTCTAGAAATAATGTTCAATGAAAAATTCAACCGAACGTATATTCCATCTTTAAATACCTTTTTTTTTTCTTTATAACTGAAATCATGACAACCTTAAGATCTTCTTTGCCTCGGTACATTTCGTTCGATTAATTTACATATCTCCGAAGATTCCGGCAAACGTTTTCCGAAGATTCTTCATAGTGTCTTCGGTGTCCTCGTTTTGTGATTGGCTGCCTTGTCTGTGGAAAGGTACTCTCGATGGTGGAGGTTCTTCTTGACGTCGGCCAACCGATGGAGCGCTGCTCACTGTACTCGATTGGGATGCTGTGGACAAATATCGTCGAATTGCTTTTATTTAACATCGTTGTGCACGTTAGAGTTGTTTGCGATCTGTTGCAAACTTATTTTCGGTTTTATTGTTAGCGAGGCCTGAGGCGAACCCTGGAGCGTTGATTTCGGAATTTTAATGGACAAGAGTCTATTGGATACTAAGTGGAAGAGGTGAGAATCTGAGGTTGTCATTGGTCGAGTTAATTTTGGAAGTAGGAATTAGGAAAATATGCGGTATTGAAGTTACGAGGTGCGTATGTTTCACGCAGATTTGGGGTGAAGAGTGTCGTTGCGTTAAAAAATTGACGTTGTAAACTGCGATATTGTAAGAGATAAAGATATATTTTCAAAATATATTTAGATAAAAGAGACTCGACTGTAACTGGTAATTGGTCACAGGACAGTTCTTAAAAAGTCAAGAGAGAGTAGAAATATGAGGTGATTTTTAAGAATTTCTCGCAAAAAGAGAGATGATATGTGTAGTAAGAAAAATGTTGATTCGACAAATTAGGAAATTCCGTAACGATAAATTACGAAGTAGCGGCCAAACTATCTCTCGATTTTTAAGTCTATCAAGGATACGCATGGTCGACGTCTTCGTTAATCTTCCGGTCACGATTCCTTCAAGCCCGTTATCCAATTAACGAAGAAACATTCGCAACGCAAGGTGTATCATCCTCGAGAGACAATCGATAAAATTTGCGCGAACCTTGAGAATCGCGACGTTGTAGCTGATGATGGCTGTCAGAACTAGTTACATCGCCCGCCATTGCTGTCGTGGACCCCACAGACCCTAAGCTGCCTATGCTAGCCATGGATCCCACGCTTCCGTGTGATCCCAACGGCGCAGTTGGTGGCGCAGTACGATCTTCTACTGGACTTGTCGCTTGACTGGAGCCAGTAATTGACCCTCTGGATGTTGTCTTCGTCAGCACGCTTGGAGGTCGACAGCATACCTTGATAGTGAAAGAAAAAATAGTGATTCGTACGAAGAAAAATCGCCGGGAATTTTTCTGACTGCTGCAAAAATCGACAGATTCAAAGGTAAAGAAAAAAAAACCACCTTCGATCTATTTGATTTCTACCTGCATCTTCGCTGTGACAAGATCTGCAATCTGTCGACGATCCTCCTCTTGCGAGTCACCCATTAACGACAACGCGCTATCGTTCACCTCGATTATATATTCCCGGCCATCCTTCCCGACCAATAGCTCGATCGCACAGATATCTAATCCACCGAACAATTGGGCCACGTGATCTACCCAGGTGCGATGTCTCTCGCTCACTGCTAATTGCTCCAACATCGCCGAACCGGTGTTCGACTTCCAGTTTCCGCTTATGCTCTTCCGCCTGAGAGAAACGTCGATAACCATAGTTACCAATCTGCTACTTTGCTATTTCCATCGTGATCACGTGGGCGGTGTTCACCCTTAACCGACAGAATGGGATGGGAATTGAAATTTTCTGTTTCTAGAAGTGATCGATCTTGCAAATGCCGAGGAATTATTTTCGATTCGACCAGACGTTGCTGAATGATTGAGTAATTTATATTTTACTTGTTTTTCTTTGGAAAACTTGGGATCTTTGTTCTTTTGGAAAAATTTGGAATCTTCGTTTTCTGGAAAAATTTGGGATCTTTGCTCTTTTGGAAAAATTTGGGATCTTTGTCCTTTGGGAATAATTTGGAATCTTCGTTCTTTGGAAAAATTTGGAATCTTCGTTCTTTTGGAGAAATTTGGGATCTTTGTCTTTTGGAGAAATTTGGGGTCTTTGCTGTTTTGAGAAAATTTGGAATCTTCGTTCTTTCGGAAAAATTTCGAATCTTTCAAACAGAACAGCAACACAATGCGAATTTTCGTTTCATACGAGGGTTACCTGTAGGTACATTGTTCCCATGTGTCCAACAGACTAACGGACACCCTACAAGACCGGTATTGTTCCGCGAATAACACAATGCCTGTTGCCATAGTTGTACTTACCTATTCATTCAGATAAAACGTGAAAAGCGGGCGGATTTGAAATTGTCCCGGCGCAGGTCGTTACATAACCATAGTTTCACCTTACCAGCCGTAGGGTTAAGCCGCACCGTTCTAATTTCCATTTTTACAAGCTACTTTGTGACATTTGCAAAGTCAGGCCACGAGGTCTGTGTTCAGGGCGGGCAACACACGCATATCTCCAGACACACATACACACTCACATGAACGCCTTGTAGTTATTGCCTATTTTCTGCACGTGCACGTCGTATTTGGTGTCGATGTACGGTTCCGCGGTGCTGTATGTGTTCGCCAAAGCGGCCAACGAGGCGAGATCTAGAAACTCTTGATTCGTCTCGGCACGAGCTTTTCCCACTCCGCCGTGGGCGTGTCCAAGTTTCACCACAACCGGATAACGAGATGCACTCACCTGCAAAGGTGAGAAAAATACGACGGTTGAAGGAAAAAAAGAAAATGAATCGATTACCGTTCGACTTTCGTTCCTATTCAAAATCGTCTACGTTAGGTTACCAACAGGCTAGACGATACCCATGCTAAATTCTTCAGTCGTCTAATAATAAATAATTAGCAATCAGGAATATTATTCAGCATGTTTCTGCGTAGAATCAGGATTTCTTGCGTGGAGAGTCGATTAACAATGCACGCGTATTCAGCATTCCGTTCTAATCGACGGAAACCAGTCCGCTGGGACGCCTACAGCAATATCCCGAGCTAGTCTTCAATAATCGAATACATTAACCGACATCTGTGGATGAAGATCAAAGTCAGCCGATACGCAGGCGGTTGATTAAGCAGTCCGCAATATATTCGCGTGGGTCGTGGCTGATTATTAAACGTTGATAATGGCCGCCGGTGTGTGTCGCTTCGTCCAGCCAACTGAGAACGCGTTTCTTTTTCTCGTTTAAACGATCCCCTCGTCAGACCATTCGGGATCCGTTCATTTCTCTCGGCGGAACGGGGCAAATGGATTTTCCCGAAAGAAACCGAGCGTACTTCGAACAGTTGGAAAGAAGATGACGCCCGAAGGTGTTGAGAAAACCGTCTACCATTCTGTATATATACCATCGTACCGGTTTCAGTTCCTCGTAATCGAGGATCACTTGCACCGCAGCGTTCTTCAGCCACGAATTCTCCACCCGATTCCAC